GAAGTCCCATTTACCATTTCGAGTTCCTTGGACGCCAATGTTTGCTCAGGATGGGCCCGAAGGAGCAGGGGTGCAAAGGTTGCCTTGCTGAGGCATCGCATGCGTACTATGCATTTTACGTCATGCTTCGTCACCCATCCCATTCGAGCCGAAACCGTGTGTGCGTCAATAACGCGGGCCCCTTCGCTGAAGGCCGAAGGCGCCGTGGAGACACCCCCAGACGAGGAGCAGCCCTGGAGAGCCCGAGTTCAATGACCTTCGGGCGACGCACCCCCCAACCAAAGCTACGGAACAACAAAACAAAGCTCGAAACTGACATCCGCCGACCTCTGCTTGCTAGAATGTTAAATGGTTGGCTGCCCCCCCCATGTCCCCTTCCCCAGGGGGCCAAACATCTTTTGGAACGCGCGGGGGGTGGGGACTAGCTCGTCAAGGCACCTCCAGGGCCCTCGGGAGCGACCAAATCTACCACTGTGGCCCCCTAAATACCCAAGATGCCTTCTAGGAAGGCTCAAGAAGTGCTCCAGCACGTCACTGAAGCCTCACGAGTATAGGAACGCCGAAAATGGCATCAAGGCGGCCAAAGAGACCAAGACCCACATGATGGCCCCAAGAGACCTCCCATGAGGGCCTCAAGTCGGGGTCGGGGGACTCGGGTTGGCCTGACAGAGCCATCATGAAAATGACGAGCGAGACCAAGTCGGAAATTTGGCGCGAACTCACTCTGCAAACATCCCAGGAAAACTGGATCGTCAAAATTCAGAACGCGCTCGTCAAAAAGCGTCGCCAAACCCGAGTTAAGGCCTACGCGAGTCTTTCGTGTCGTCGATCAAGAGCCAAAAGTAACTCGCGTTCCCTCCGTCTTCGACCTTTCTCCGCACTGTTGCATTCTCGGGCTCCTGCAGGCCCCAGGCGGCCCGCGAGGCCCCCCCAAGACCGGACCCAAGACAGCCACAAGGAGGCCTCCAGGATGGCCACAGGAGGCCCTTAAGCGAGGGCCCCGTGGAGGGCCCAAGAGAGAGGCCCACGGGGGGGGGGCCACTCGCAGGGGCCCACGGAGTCCCCTCGCACCGCGGAGGGCCACCCGTGGAGAAACGCCCACGAAGGGCCGCCCCGCAACGGACGCGGGGGGCGAGGAGGACGAATCAGCGACAACCGCACCCTGGGGAGCAACACGACGCGACGAGGCAGATCAGCGACGCGACGAGGAGGACAGATCAGCGACGAGAGGAGGACGAGGAGGACAGATCAGAGACGAGGAGGACAGAGGGACGAGGAGGACAGGAGCACGCCGCGACGAGGCACACAGCTCATATAGGAAATGGGAGACCACGCGCCTCCTCCTCCGCGGGTGGACGGAATGGCGCAAGCCTCTCGAACCAAAGCTCGGAGGTCCGCGCGGCCTTCCTTGATGGGCCTGTTTTCCACCACCACCACCATAAGTAGGAGGATGAGGGGTAGGAGGAGTAGGAGGAGTAGGAGGAGGAGGAGGAGGAGGAGGAGGAGGAGGAGGACCCCCTCCCCCTCCAACTGATGGTGGTGGTGGAAAACAAGCCCATCATTACTCCCCTGATGGCGCGCGGAGGGTGCCAGAGGCAGCGCCGGAGGCGCCGCCAATGGGGGGTTCCAGCCACGGCCCAAGAAATAAGGGCGGGCCTCCGAAAGCACTTGCTTACGCAGCATTGGGGCAGCAGGAGGGTTCCGACACTGCTGCCTGACCTCTCCTTGGCGGCGCGCAGCAGGGGGTGGAGGGAAGGGGGAGGGCGTCTTAAGAAGGGAGCTGCTTCTTAAAACGCGCTGGCCTTACATCTGTAGAGAAGGCCCGCGCCTTCTAAGAAGCAGGGGTGCTTCTGTAGAGACACCCCTGATTCTACGGGGCGATACTCGATCCGTAGATGCGCGCGCCAGGGAACGCGTGAGCCGCGTCCACGGCAGAGAATGGCCCTCCGACTCAGCAAACCTGCAAGCTCTCGGCCGCTGCGCGGCTGCGCAGGAGCTCTATCTGCTTCGAGAGAGTGAGCGTTATAAAGTTGCAAAAGAAATCACGGATTCTAAGAAGCCCTCTGCGCGTGGCTGACCTCTCCGAAGGTGCGGCTCTGCCCAGGATCTCGAGGCAAAGCCGGCCATGGCGACGCAGGCCGCCCGGCAGGCTCAAGAAGGCGAGAAGGATCGGGGACGTACTGGTGCTGGGTCGGTGAAAGCCCGGGTCAGTCGGGCCTTGCAGGATGCTGCAAAATCCTGCAGGAGCACGCGCGCTAGCCTGGGCCAATGCAGCCCTGATTTTGCAGGATCCTGCGAGATCTGGCGCTCTGGCTGACCTCCGTTCGTACAGTCGGGGCGTTGACCTAAGGAACCCTAAATAAGGAACGAGGCCACATGTTTCCACAAGTTAACCTTCGATTTCCTATCGGAAACATAAGGAAAGCCTGAGGCAAGCTGTGAAACACTTAAGGAACGCGGAGCCCCTCCCCAACGAAAAGGGTTCCTTCTTCAGGGCCCCGACTGTAGTAACCCTCGCCTCAAGGCTCCCAGAACAAGGGAAGGGCAGCGGTATCGGTACCTCGTTCCTCCTCTGCAGTCCAGGCGCGCCCCCCGCATTCTCAGAAGGCCGCCCTCCTCGCGCGCCACCCCTTTCGGTTGCGCGCCGCCCCAAACCAAGTTGCCTTCTCGGGAACCTCCTTAGAATCGACGAATCGGAAACCTCGCCATCGCTCGGACGTCCATTCCCTGTGTTTTTTTGTGGTTTCGTGCGTGGTTTTTTTCGCCAAATGATCAAGGATGCTCCTCGATGACCCTCGCCGAAGGAAAAATGCACACGTCCGAGCGATGCCAGGAAGCTGAATCCGCAACCGTGCCGCTGGGCCCGGACTGGGCGTGTCCTCAGGTCCTCTGCCCAATCCCCTGAGCCTGCCCTCGATCCAGGAAGTTCTTGCAGGGGCCCGGACCCCAAATTCAGGGGCGTGGCGCTGTTCCCCTGGGCTCTGGGGCATCTTCTCGCACTACTCTGCTGGGCCCAAGAGAGCCCCAGGATGGACCAGGAGGGCCCCAAGAGGCACACAAGACGGACTAAGAGGACCCCGAGGCGCCGAACGATCGCTCGAAGACGCCCGAGATGGCCCCCAGATGGCCCAAGAGGTGTCCAAGACGCACCAAGAGGCCTCCAAGAGGACCCAAGAGGCCAAAATCATTGATGTTCCTTAGGATTTGGTAGGTGTTTGGCGTTCTCGCACGTTCGGCTTCCCGACGCTCCCAGACGGCCCCAGAGGCCCCCAGGATCGCCCCAAGACGGGCTAAGAGGCCTCCAAGAGAGCCCCAAGACGCGCCCAAGAGGGCCCAAGAGGCCCCAAAGACGGCACCAAGAGGGGCCCTGATGGGGGACCCCACAGACATTTCGAACCCTCGGCCCCGAGGGGCCCCCTGGAGGCCCCCAAGAGGCCCCCAAGAGGCCTCCAGGCCCCAAAGGGCCCCAAAAATGCCCCCAAGAGGGCCCCGAGAGCGCTCCGAAGAGACCCCATGAAGCATCCCTGATAACCACGACCCACAATCCAGGCACGGTGGCGGAATAGGCCGAAGGCCATTTAGATCCGCCGCCCCCTGTTGATTCATCACAGGGGTGCCTGGCGTGCTAGATGATTTAGGGTTTTGGCTTTGCTTCTTTTCCACAAGAACTCCTGGGAGGGAGCTCCAGGCCCGCAAACGACCTCAACGTCCGAACAAAAAATCCAAGACGGCTCAAGATGGCCTCCAAGACGGCCAAGATGGCCCTCAGGCTCGCCCAAGATGGTCCAAGATAGCCTTCAAGTCCGCCCAAGAGGAGGAGATGCCTCCAAGTCCGCCCAAGAAGCCTCCAAGACGGCCCAAGAGGTGCCCAAGAGGCCTCCAAGACGGCCTACAGGCCTCCGAGAGGTCCTCCAGGAGGGCCCGAAGAGGCCCAAATCGTATATGTTCCTCGTATATACTCCTGTTCGGCTTTCCGACGACCCAAGACAGCCCAAGAGGCTCCCAAGATCGCCCCAACAGCGCCCAAGAGGCCTCCAAGATGGCCTCAGGACTGCCCAAGAGGCCCCCAAGACGGCCCCAAGAGGGCACAAAGACGACCCCAGAGGCCTCCAAGACGCCCAGGATGGCCTCTAAGACGGCCATGGAGCACCCCAAGAGGGCCCCAAGTCGGCCCAGAGAGGCCCCCCGAACGGCTTCCGACGGCGTCAGACGGGCCAGGAGCCCACCAAGATGACCGAAGTTGGCTCGAAGCTGGCCCAAGACGGCCCAAGAGGCGTCAAAGAGGGCCTCCAGGAAGGGCCGAAAAGGCCAAAATCATTGATTTCCAATGAGTTTTTGAAGGATTGTGGCATTTGCTTTTTTCCGGCCTTCCGACGGCCCGAGACGGCCCAAGTGCCTCCAAAGATCGCCCAAGAGGCCCACGACGGCCCCCAAAGGCCCCCAAGACGGCCCAAGAGGCCTCCAAGACGCTCAAGATGGCCTCCAAGACGGCCCAAGAGCCCTCCAAGACGTCCTCCAAGAAGGCCCAAAAGGGTCAAAATGGCCTGCAGACGGCCAAGATGACTTTCAAGATGCCCACGTGTTCCCCGAAGGCTTTCCAAACCGATTCGGGGAACGCATGGTTCGATAGCTTGGCAGGTCTGGCCGCAACGTTCGGCCACATAGGCGCTTCCAAGAAAGGCAGGGGGCGGCGGTGATTCGCCGTAGGCGTCTTAGGCGTCGTCTTATATATATATATATATATATATATACATAAAAAAGTGTCTGGGGTCAGCTCGGACTACAGTGGAGGCCAGTCCGCAAGAAACCTTCCACAAGAAATCCAACCCTGAGACCCCAGGACGTCCATCGATCTTTGGCGTGGGAGCGCCGCGCCCTCCACAGCAAAACCATCGAAACCCAAGAAACCCAGGGCACCCTGGAGGCAAGCAGGGTGTTTCTTGGCATGGGCATCCACTGCCCCTGCGGCACCAACCCCCAAGAGAAGCAGGGGCGCGCAC